ATATATATATATATATATATATATATATATATATATATATATAGCGCGAATATATCAGGTTAAAGAAATAATTTGTAGCAGGTATTCATTGGATGAAAGAAAATGAGAGATGCGCAGATGGCCGAAGATTGGATCGTTCCTTTGACAATTTCGTCACGAGAGCGAGAATTTATTTCGGTACTTCATCGTAATTTAACGACGAGTCGAACGATAGGGAAATAAATCACTGTTGGAAAGTGGTGGTCGATGCTCTTGCTTTTCTGTAACGGCTCGATACGAGCCGTGCCATTTGTTTAAATCAATTTCGAGAAGCGTGAAAATTCGATAAACGTATACGTGTACGTTTGCGCGAATTAAATCCCGATTGATAATACTCGGCGCCAACTTGAATTTGTGAAATTACCGATAGCTGAATCAGACTGATGGCCTCACTCATTTCGCATGCACGCTTCTGCTACACGGCGCGCGACGTTCGACCACAAATGGGTTCGCAGCACGCTAGGAATAACTATCAACCGAATAATTTCTCGTTGTCATCCGTATAATGGTATCGTGCGGCTCGTGCACCGATATTATAAAATATCGCACAATATGCCCCGATATCGTTTAGCCTACCTACCTTAATTTTCTTCTTTCCCCAAATTTTATCCTTTTACCGCGTGAAATTATAATGAAATAATTCGCGCGAGAATGAAACGTTACGATATCATAATTATTATATTTTGTAAATAATTATATAGCGAGCTTTAAATCAGCTATGTTAATTTAATGAAAACAAATTGACTTTGTAATAGAATTTCATGCATATACGTATGATAACGTGATATGAAATATATACGCGGAATTAAACTGTCGATATCTCGATAAATAGATTTTAAACGAATCGTTGGACGAAGATTTATAGCGCGTAACGTAACAAATTTCGAGTACGCCTAACGTTACGTAAGAGGAAAAGTAAATATCGCAAAGCTCGTCGATTTGTCTTTGGTAAGAAGGGAACGTTCTCGGGGTAAACGGTAGCTGTAAATCAACGGTATGTATTTTCTTCGCTCGTGAAAGTGGATGTATGCATTTCTCGTCACACACCATATTTCCGTTTATATTATTCGCGCAAATAGTAAATAGATAGATTCCTCTCTAAGAAGACGAAATACCATATAAATATTTTCTAATGCGAATTCAACTCGCGTTTTAGTTCGTAACTCGCGTTTCTTCGGGGAAACAATTTTCTTAGCTATATCTATAGCTTCTTCTCTCGCGAAATTTTGATTATTTACATTTCGCGAAAGGAAAAGAAACGAGAGGAAAAAACACATTCGAGATAATGAACGCGAAAGAAGGTTGTTTCTCTCGTTTTTCGTTCAATCGTCCCGTACGTTTGTATCCTCGATCCAATTCGGTATCGAACAGAGATTTCCAACAATCGGGACAAGTGTACTCTTAAAGCGGTGCGCGATTGTTAGCGGTGTTACGCCAATGAATAACGAAGATAACCGCTTTCAAACTCGTTAAATGGTTAAAAACAATTGCGTTTTAACGAATGGAAAAGTATTCGCTGTTTCGCGCGTAATCATCCTATAAAACTCAGATAATTTAATCGCAAAAAACTGGGTAACGTCGTTGATCGTCTATTTCCAAATATTTCCAAATATTTCCAAATATCGTTGCAAAATTTTCGATAGAAGATTAGTTTTCAAGAAAATTATAAAATTAAATTTCCATTAGATTGCAACGAGATTGCGAGACATTCGATCAACTGGGCGATGTTAAAAGCGAGAGATAAAACCGGAAGAGAAAGGACGATGGCGTCTTGTCGTAGGAAAAGCACGGATGAATGTCAAACGTCTCCTCTGTGTGCGTGGACGCGATTCGAGTCGAAATCTCGAAAACGCGCGTGATTGCATTCGCCGATAACAGCGGTGAAATTGCATTCCTACTCGTTGTAACATATGTATAGCGGTATCACGAGTTGGGTAGGTGAAATAACTTTGAACGGTAATGATGACAACCGCACAATTGAAACCGAATACAGATATCTTGTAGCTAAACCTCGTTCGTGGAAATTGAACGGTACGTTTCGGTAAATCTAACGCGATCGATTATTCGCTCGTACATGGGCGAAATCCAAACGCACGCGAAATCGCTCGTTACACGTGTTATCCGAGAACGGATTATTAATTAATTGTAAGTGGCACTGTTATAATTATAACCGCATCGTTGTTTAACTATACCGACACATTTTGCCAACACATTTCATCGTGCGAACGCACAACGTCATATCCTCAAGTTTTACACTTTACTGCTCGACGATCGTAAGGAAATGGAATATAAAAAATTATACAAAGAGTTACAACCTGTGAGAGAGATGAACAATTTTCCAGATTTCCAAATTTCGTTTCGTCTCGAATCTTTTTTTTTTTTCATCTTTCGAAATTTTATTTTTACTCTTGCTTTTATACTTTTGATCAAAGGCGACGAAACTCGCGTAAAGATTTTACTCTCGAGAACGAAAGACAAGGAAATAAAAAACGAACGGATATTCGATGAACAAGGATTTTTCGATTAAAGCTAACAAAAATTTCACTGCAATCTTTCGTATCAACGACGAAAGCGACACGTTCACTGGAAAACTTTTTTTTAAATCCAAAGTTCGTAGGGATGGATGGAAGAGGGGAAGAAATCGAGGTGAATGAAATTTTCATATATACGAAAATATAAGAAAAGGACACGTGTGCAAAGTGAAGGATGGGAAACGAAGATGTGGTTTTACCGCCACCAGGGGTCGAGAGTATTCCACCAGGACGGCCAAAGAATGCGCACTCACCGATGGAACCGGTCGAATTATCGGCCCAAACACTGGCCGCAAAACTGGAAAGTAGGAAAAGCGTAGCAGCGGTGAAGAACCGCGAACGGTTGCCGACGCTCCCCAAAACACGGTTCGCACGTTCACCGAACATCGCGGTAGCACGAAGCGAGGACGAGAGGATACGCGGCCGGCATCCCGACTGAGGGATCGCGCTTTTCCAACCCCAACATCGTGTTTCTCTTTCCCCTCCCCCCTCCTCTCCCTTCTGGGCTTGCATCCCCCTACCACATTTCCTTTCCCGCCACGCGCAGAAGCCCCAACGCTCTTCCACCCTTTCTTCCCTGTCTCTCTTCTAATTCCACTCGCTTATCTATTATCGATAAGCGACGATTAATTACCGAGTCGGTCAGTGGCATACCCTTTTCGCTCGTTCGTTGAACGATAGATACACCTGTGGAGCGCTCTTCTTCCCTTTATTTTCTGGTTGTCGCGAACATCACCGAGACGTTCGATGCGTTTCGTGCGAACCATCGGATAACCTTGAACTTGAACGTCGCATCGACTCCGCCACCGCATCTATCGTTATGGAAGAGATTTTCGACGCGATCTCGCAGCGTGAGGAGAGAAGAATGCTCTTCGACGTACAATCGTCGCGATTACCATCGAAATTAAGCGAAAATATTTGTACGATATGATCGATATTTTGCGTATATTTTCGATAAATATAACGCACATATATACATTTGTACATAAATATGCACGTTACGAGAAATTCGCAAAGATAAATAGGCTATCGTTTATTCCATCGTTGAATAATTGAACGCGAAACGTAATTTACGTAAAAATTGAAATTCAACTATACACGATAAACGCTTGGTCTAACAAGCGAAATCTATCGATACAGGCTCGAAATGGGTGGAACAATGTGCGGAATATTCACCGGTTGACAAGGAATGTCGATTATTCGATCAATGGAGAGTACTTAATGACTAAGATTAGGGATGGTCGAAGCTGCTTCTATTATGGACCGTTAAGGGATATTAAGCATCTGGTTGAATCGAATACTCGCGAATGAATAAGTCGCGAATGTTTACGTTACGTGTGAGATATTTGTAAAATATTTTGAACTGGAATCGAAATGGAAAGAGAGCAACGCGTAAGTGTGTGTTTCCACGCCCTTCCGTACGTGGCAAGATCCTTAGGAGAGGTATATGAGTTATAGAAAATCGTGACATATGGAGGAAGGGTAGGGTGTATAAGAGAGAATAAGTTATCGCGGATGGTATATTGGAAGGCGTGTTCGAGAGACTGGAAGGCGCCACGAGACACACAGCCATTGTACGAGCTTCCACCAGGCTTTGGCCCTTCCTCCTCCCTTTTTCGTTTTCCTTTTCCTCTTCCTCTTTGTGCCGTTAACGCGAATTCGCCTCTCCTCTCCTCTCCTAAGGATCGCGCACCACCCTTTGCCGCATCGCTATCGCCTGCCAGTATCACTCTAGTCCTTGAATTCTCGAGCGCGAGTGAAAATTCCCTTCCCTTTTTCCTTTCGTCGATTTTCGAGTCGATCGACCGTATTCGACTATGACCCCAAAATAGTTTGCATTCCCTCGTAAACCTTTCGATTGCCTTTTATCTCGTATCCGCAAATCTTTTCGATCTATCCATATTTTCTTTCCTCCCTTTTCTTCGAGGAAATTCTCGCACAACACAGTCGAACGTATCGTTATTGCCTGCGTAATTCTTAAGGAATTTTCTCGTAAATATTTCTCTTCTTTTTCTCTCCCCTACTACACTTACTATTTCGTAATTTATTTTGTATTCGATATCGAATATATCGCGTATATATGTTTGCAAATATTCGTCGTAAGAGATAATCAAGCTTATGTCGACGGAGTTAAACAGAGGTTTATAATATGATTTCCATCGTGTACAAGCAAAACACTTTGGAAGAACACGAGCATGCATCTTGGTAAACAAGGATGCACAGGACATGACGCTTGGTTACTTGGAAAGCATCCTCTATCTATAGGATGGAACGACAGATATGGTGGCGATGTATTTAGGAACGCAACACGAGAGACATACTCTGTCTACCTGTATGGCTACAAAGTTACATCTTGCAAATTGCGTTTGTCAACAACGGCTAATTGCCACTAGAAATGTTACTCGACTATGAAGGGACTCGTAATTAGGAGGATGGAACCCCGCAAGATTCGATTACATATTTGCCCTGTATAAGCGGCAAAGAGATTCGAATCGTCATCGAATCGTGTAACAACGCAGAGGAAAAACGTGGAAGCGTTAAATGCGTTTCTACGCGTCAATTTTAAAACGGATGATTAAATTTGAAAATAAAAATTCTCAATCTTAATTTACAATCTTAACGTTTTATTCTCATTATTATTACGTATTAGCAGACGTGTACAGTGCGTTATTTGTTTAGAAGGATGAAAAGAAAGAAAAATGATAGTTCGTCCGCGTAGATAGATTTCCCTACTTGGAGGAAATGGGGAGGAATATAGGACGATGGTATCGCAAAGGCGGATTTGTACGAGATTGCGAAGGGCGTACGACGAAGACAACGAAGAAGGAGCATGAGGAATAGTAGCGAGTAATCTCGTTATGTCGCCCGATTCAACTTAACCGTCAGATCGCGTATATAACGTGGTGCGTTTCCGAAATCGGGATTACCGCTTCCCATGTCCATGGAAAGTTACAAGATCGTTGACGAGTAGAATCCCTGTTAACTTCAGCTATTTCCGTTCACCGACAATTATTTTTCACGGATTCGAAATTTCGGATAGGAAGAAACGAATGGCCCGATTACGTGATAACATCGTGGTCATCGATTGTACGTGTACGCGATATAAATGATACGAACCATCATTTTTCTTCGATTCGAAGAAAAAAATTTGCGTGTTCGTCGAAATTAATAAATATCGTTTTATATACGTACAAGATGGACGTACACGTAGAAAGATATATCTCTAGCGTGAATTCGCGCACTCTTACGGATAACGATAATTTTGCGGGATCAGCATGCGTCATTTATAGGTTTACCTACAAAGATTAATGCCTATTTGTACGCGTCAAGTACATAAACGGACAGTCATCTCGTGTATTATACGTTACAATTATAACGGCGATGCTCGATATCGCGATACCATTTTAGTCGGGCGTTCGAGATCAATATTAACGATGATATTGGATCTGGAAATTGGAGGTACCGTGTTGTCGGACAAACAAAACGAAATAAACAAAACTGCAACGTCGAAACGCAGTCGCATTTGCGGCCTCCTCCGATAGATGTCATACGTATTATTTTATCCGTTTGTTGCGATCAGCTACACGCGTAAATATTTTCCAACGCGTTTGCTTCTCACCGGGCGAAAAGAAAAGAAGAACGTGTTGAACAACGCTTCGAATAAACGCCGAATCTTTTCATCGCTTCGTTTCGTACGCGTTCGCAACACAACTCTTGTAACTCTTTGTTACGCGTAAATTACGTAAAACATTCGAAACGCGAAATTGAGAATGTTCTTTTTTACAAAAAGGTATAATCATAGATGGGATCATATTTATGCGGAGAAACTGGGTCGAAACGAAATAGCGAGGCGAGATGAAATATCGTTTCGCACCTGCTACTATTACTATACGGTGTAGCTAGCAATGTCATCGCGAAAGAAAACTATTATTATCATTTATGAGGTTACTTTTGGCCGAAAGCAAAGTCGATTTTCCACTTTTTATCGATCAATCTCGAAAATTTTAAACGATATATTTTCTTTTTTTACAGATGTTTTTGAAGAAAAGATGTAATTCATAAAAAATATACATCGAATTAAATAAAGACGACATTAAACTTTGATCCAACATTTTTGAACTTTTGAAAATTTTAAACGTGTCCACCTTTTTGTAAGGATATCGAATCAATGTTAATGGAATATTTGGTCGTTATGTGTTGAAAAATCCAACGAATAAAACGTAAAAAAAAAAGAAAAACGCAGATTATAATTGAATGAAGAGAATCATACATATACATATATATATATAGGTAGTTGAATATGGATTTTCCGGAAATGGTATAATCCATCTATTCTATCTGCCATTCAACGAATGATAAACAAAAGAGGTTGTCAAAAGCTTGAAAAAAATTTCGTTCATAACGTTTTCAAGCTTCACTCGTGATCCGTTACAGACGCTTATTTCTTTCATGTGTGAAAATAATGCCTGTGAGTGTATGAATATATTGCTCCCATATCTGTCCACCAGTCCTTTATTGTCGAGAGTGGCAAAGGCCGAGTAAACGTTTCTTTTGTCTCCCTTGATTGATCGTTATCGATCGGATGCGCGCGTGAACCTCTCTCTCCACTGGGAGTAACAATTTTTATATGCTTCGAAAACCTTTTTAATCTTTTTTTCCTCTCCCTCTCTCTCTCTCTCTACAAAAATTATTTTGCAAAATTATACTTTCGCATAAATATCTTTTCATTCTTGCTTACCGATTTGATTTCAAATTGAATAATTTTGCAAAGTATCGTTACGTTGATGAAAATTGTTCCACGATTTTAAATAGCATCGTATATACGGCGACGAGTAAAGGAAATAGGGAACAAAAAAGAAAATACTACGACACACCGAAAAACGGTGCATACGAGTGGATTCGTAGAGATAAGATACGAACGGTGACAAGAGTAGAAAATTGGACGAAAGTATAGGTATAAGCCTACTTTTCGTCTTTCGCTAGCGTCCCTCAATCTGTTACAGTCTCTAATTGCAACTTGAAAACTCAAGGGAGCAAAAATGGTGAAACGATACTCGACTCGTTGCTCCCCGTTTCGAGTGCATCGAGTCTCTCGCGATTCCGTTTTAATCCTCCACATTTCTACCGAAATTCTCTTATTCACCGAATATTCTTTCCAAAATTCTGACGTGTAACAAACTCTTTATCTTTCGACGCGAATCGTGTAAAATTGCGAAACCTTCGTTTTGAAATCGATTCGTGACAAATTTCTCTCTCAATAATCGTACAATTGCATTTTTAAATATTCAACAACGACGTATATTATTCTGCGTTTGAAGTATCTGCATAATAATAAATAATCGTTGATGAGAAAGATAGGGAAAGATACTACGAAATAATGAAATTTAGCTTTTTACATTATTATTCTCTCGTTATTCTAAAATCGCACGAATTTTTTTCATTAATTTCACGATATTGCGAATTACTATCATAATCGAAAAATAACAAGAGAAAAAAAGAGAGAGTAATTTTATATTAAAACATAAACTTGGAAATGTGAAATGTAAAATTATCGTATGTATTAATTGATTAATTACTACCGATTCAATTATATCGATACAAATATACGATGTATAATTTATACGAGGAAAATGGCACGTATCGCATTTTGTCCACTTTGCAATGAATCGCG